AGGAGGTGACTCTCCACAGCCTCCAAAATACAGTGGGGCTTGTGCTCCTCTCCAGCAGCCTGAAACGCTGCCCCCGGCACCTCTTTCGAGCTCCGTTTCTTAGGTGTAATATTGGTTCCTGCCTGTCCATTAGGAGACAGGCTGCTCTTGCTAGGAGAACAGGGAACCAGGGAGCAGGCTGAGACAGGGATATTTAATCCTCATCCTTTGTTGACACCTATTTAACTTCTGACTCCCCTGTAAGAATTCTTTTAAGGAAAAGGAGCTCTTTGTTGGACACTCTTGTTGCTCAGAACAAGGGAAAACTGAACTTGATATCACTGTAAGGCTGAAAAGGCCTTCAAGGGAGCCCCAAACACCATGACAGAGCAATGGAGCCAACGCTTTGGAGGGTCAAAGAACAAGCATGAGACTACCCGAGGGAATAAACCCATGGGCTTCCTTCCTTTCTCTCAAAACCCCGGGGTTATTCCACTTGCCAGAGGAAGGAAATCTGCTAGGTAATATTTAATCTACATAAGCCTTGAGGAGACAGGACACCGAGCTGGGCATAGCAGGTGGAGTGTTAAGCCTGGCTCTGCACGGTTTGCAGGTCTCCAGAAAAGCAAGAGGGGCCCCACATTTCCGAGCATCTCAAACCAACCCCAGGGAACCAAGTTGGGCTCTTCAGCAGCTCCTTTGCCAGAGGCTGCTGTAGATTTGCAAGTTTTTGTGCCCGTCTGATGTGCTGCAGCAAATATAACTCATTGCTCACTGCTCTACAGCAGGAAACCACTCCGAGCCCTTCCTGAAATTTCAGCGGTATCAGCGATGATGGCATTGGCAAAGTGGTTCAAGTGTTATTAAAGTTTAGTTTATTAAAAACGATTTGGATGGACTAAAGGTTAGGAGAGTGGCTAAGATTTCCAGGGAGGGACAACTAAAGCGCTCCGTCGCCTTTGAGATGAGATCTACTTGGAGACTGGGCCGAGTCTTGGGCTGAAGATTGCCTTCAGTATGCTCTGCTGCGCTGCGCCCTTACGGAAGCGCTCCCGGCTCTCCTGCTCCCGTGCAACAATATATCCTAATAACACGCAGAACATTTTAATTCCATAATAGCGACATGGATGCTATTCACAGAACCCCAAAGTAATAGGAACAGCAAAATAGAGCTGGCAGCATGACCTCAGCAAAGCCATTTTTGCACCGGAAAACATTTAACTCCTGCAGTCTAATTTGCTGCTTAGTTGAATGTATTAAACCTACCTGCTACAGCTTATTTACAGATCTCACATACTAGAATAAATAGCAGACACTGTATGGACAGTTCAGTACTGATCAACTGTCTACCCGGGAAGCTTTTGTAGGCTGCTTTAAACGAGTTTTGAGATGAATCACAGACATCTTGCTCACTTACACTGTCCTCCCCCCAAAGCTCTGTGGATGTGACCCAGGCTCCTGCTCCTTGGACACGCATGTGACACCTTTAAGCTCACAGTCATGTCTCCAAAACTTGGAAACTCTCTATCCACTACAGCAAAAGGAGTATATAGTCCAAAAACCAGAATTACACCTTTTTTTTTTTTTCCCCTTTGCAGTATAAATCCTATTAAAAAAAAAAAGTCACCTGACAAACTTGAAACACATGATTAGTATCAAGGACATTTGGGTTGCATAATCTGTCCCTAAAGAATTTAAGGGAGAGCCCTTCTTTTTGTTAAAAACAGCACAACGAATGGGATTAGTGTTGTGTGGTTTATGCTACTCCTTTTTTGGCATCGGTTTATCTAGAACTAGCCTCACCTCAGCCCATTTACTTTGTGATTTCAGTAGCAAAACACTTTTTTCTGCCAATAAAAAGCACTGTCTCAAGGGTCACTGCTCCTCTCACGTGTCTTTGCCAAACACAGCACTGCAACAGCACGGAGGAGCTGTCAATACTTTTCCAGAGCAGCATTTTACCACAGAGCAAGTGATTTTCAGAAGCAGTTTTTATTCCTTTACTCACTCGACCCTTGAACAAACCTATGAATGCAGCTTTTAAAAGCATCAGCCTGTGGGGATCCTTCAATTCAAGATCTTACTCTGCTGAGCCACAGAGTCGAGGATAATAAATAACGTGACATCCCGGAACAGCCTAATCCTATTGCAAAGTGGGTCTTCCCATGAAGGACGAGCCACCTAATTACAGGCAGCAGGCACAGACTAACTGCATTAACTGCTCCTATCAAAGTATGATTTAAGAGAATTATTTTGTTCTCTGGAAAAGAGTAAGCCTTTAGCTGCTCTGAGTCACTGAATGCATTTTAATGCAGCCCTCTCGGTAGCTCATGGCTTCCAAGTAATTTTTGATGCAAAGTCAGTATCTTTGGTCTGCACCAAAGTAAATTTTATCTTTGATGACGGCTGACTAGAAGCACTTCAGCCAGGCAATTCAGATAATCAAAGCTGTATTATTCTCCCTGGCAAATAAATTGGTGTGCATTTGTTTTACAGGCAGCCTCTAGAGAGGGATTTTCGGGCTAGGATTTTTTTTTTAGTGACTCACGTTGCTTTGTTTAAGTTTTGATTCAGAGGACTCAGAGTCAGGCCAACATCAGGACATTGGAACGGCCTTTCAGGATAGCTCAATCCTGGCTCCCCCTCAAAGAACTTTAAAGCTGGAATAAAGAAATGGTTTTGCAAAAAAAGGAAAAAAAAGAGAGGAGCTTTCTGAAGAAACGGTTTCCATTAGAAAAGGCCAATTCAGCAAACCCCGGGCCTTTTGCAGGATGTGTGGATGTCATTGGTGCTTTCACTGGAAACCAGGTCAATGTCACGGGCAGGCCCGCGCAGCCTCTCGCCAAGCTCCACCGCGGAGAGTCCCGGGACCGCGGCGCTGCCCCGGCTCGCGCGGGCGCACACGGCCAGCGCTGCGTGCCGGGCTCCCCCGGAACGCTGCCTTGTGGGTTCTTTTTCCAGAAGTTAGGCATGCTGTTTTGCTAACGCCGAATAGAGCTGCTCTGGAGAAGCGCAGGAGGGAAGGAGGTTTTCAGTCGGGAGCTTCCCGGGGAACAGGATTCCCATTCCCACTATATTCATCTGATTGAATGCCCCTCGTTGCCTACAAGCACTGTAAATACAGCGTTTTCTCACACTGTACCCGCGTATATCATATGGCAGAGTCAAACCCTGCGCACTTTCCAGCTTGTCTGTACTACAAGCTGGGCTTTGTTTTTAAAAATATTCCATTTTAAAAGAACTAGGCAATGACAGAAGCCAGATTCAGCATTATAGTGCACAAAAGTGAGGATACGTGAAAAAGAGAAAGAAGAAAGAAACCAGTACCATATTAGCTTAGTGATGTAGCAAAAGTTTTCATACAGGTGTCTCTACAATACACCTAAATGGCATCAAACGCGCTGATATTACTTGAATAAGAATTCTATATTAGTTCAGTACAACCAGGATAGGATCAAAGACGTTCCAGACTTTTGTGCAGCTGCTTTTAACCCAGATTTCGGCGCTTCCTTTAAGCGCCGTCCCCGTCGCAGCCCGCGCGGTGCATCGCATAGTGAAGGCAATCTGCAGCAACCAGGGAGCGCTCGTGTTTGGTTACAGGTTTTGCCCTAGTGATGTGATTTACTACATGATCACTGCAAACTCGAATACCTTGCAATGGGTGGAGCTTATTGGAATACCCACATTTGAGGCTACAAGTACCGTTAGCGCACACATTACTTCAATGCAAAATCCACTGTGAAAAAAAAAAAAAAAAAAAGAGACAGATGGAAAAACCTGTAGTAAAAGAGTTATATGCAGGAAATCCCATGCCATGCATTTATCAAGAAAGTGAAGTATAAATGATGAATGGTGCGCAGCCTCTGAACAGGGGAGAGATGCTACACAGCCAGGTTCAAATGGCACCTTCAGAGGAAACCGGCTTCTCCGCTTCCGCACGCCCTCGCCATCCCTTGCTTCCAAATTGAGCTCCAGGTTTGGGGAGCGGCGTTTTCCTTGGCCCACAGCTACGGCGTTCGCGCTCTGGTTGCTGCCGTGCCCAATGGCGACAACCTTGCTGTGCCAAGCTCCGTGCACTGTTGGAAGCCTGGTTTTCGGAAGGCCGTTGGCGCGGCGGAGACGCCGCTCGGCCCCTCCGCACCAGCGTTCCCAGCGAGCGGCTCTTTCCCCCTCGCCAGGTTTCCCTGCCTGAAACATGCCATTATCGACTGATCTGAGCAGCACAGTTTAGCATGAATAGCCCAGACTGCCTTGGCTGCAGTCACTCGGCAAAGGCATACCTTGCAGTGTGTAGTACTGACTGGAAGTCCAACATTGGAAGCTACCACAACTGTGAACGCCGAAGCCAACTCAATAGTGAATCCACTGCGGGAAGCATAAGAAAACACTTCACAATCACTCTTTGCATCAGCTCCAACTGATACCATGCAGTGCGCCAAAGTCTTACCCGTTTCTTCTTCAACTCATTATCTCCGACTGACTTTTGTCACAGAAATAAGTTAAGAGAGCAAGGAACTGCTGGACAACGGGACACACGAGTCATCTGCAGTGAACGGGCCGCACGGCTCATTGCGTCGGGAACTTCTACTACGCTCTGTGCTGCAGTGATTCATGCCTACATAGCCATTTGGTTAAGCAGCAGCAGAGGTCCAGTATGCGTTAAAGACAGAAATAACTGTAATAAGGATGTATGTTTTTAAAGAGGCTGGAGCACACAGAAAGCCATCGTAACCTCGTCACTTCCAACTGCAGCAAGAGGACCATCACCTTTTCCCATGTTATTCGGGATGTCAGCAGAGGACCCTGCTCACGAGTGGAACTCTGTGCCTCAAACTCACTCTGTTTTTAGTTTACAGAGATACTTTTCTCTTTTTTTTTTCTCTTTCTTTTTTTTTTAAAGAAAGATGGAGAGATCAGAACAAATTCATCATTCAAATCAAAGCAAAAGCAAATCCAGCCAACAAAATATGAGGAGCACCAATTTCTCAGACTAACTTCACACAACAGGTTGGCACAGCTGCAATGGCAAAGCTTGTACCTACCTCGACGGCGTGATTGGCGTGAGGTCTTTGCCCATCGTCTGGATGACTCTTCTACCCCAGACCCAGAGACCCACGCAAATCCCAACGCCTCCGTAGAACAGCAGCCAGACGGGGGTTGATGCCTCCTGCATGACACCCCCTTGGTCGTAGATAAGCCAGAGGGCGACTAGAGGACCAATTGCATTGCTGGGGAAACAAAAGAACACAGGTTAACGAACAAAATTGTCTTCTTTGGCAGGAAGATACAAATACTGTCTAGTCCAAAGCCCTGTAACTTCTGTAGATCAGAATGTAACTGGGAAAGTCATTTAATCCTCTTTAAATGCATGTGCAAAGCTAGTTTAACCAGATCAGAGAGGACTGCTGGGTGACACTGAGCTGGTGTAAACCCTTTTCACTACCCTCCTGCGTCTGCCTAGAAGAAAAAATGGAAAATTAGCAACGTTGAAGTCCCCGTTCTTAATGCAGGACAAAAGGTGAGGCAGCACCACAAAAATCAGCCTATGTCTAAGCAGTCACAAGAAGGGGAGAGCAAAACTGCCACTCAAGGTCACTCGACAAGCTTGCAGACCAACAGGAAACGTCTCTCCATATGGGGAAAACCAATGAAGGAGACCAGGCCATGACAGGGCTTGCTCTGTGCCCAGGACTGGCTAAATTTAACAGTGGTCCAAGCGCACAGATCAGGCAAGAGACATTTGCAACACCAAGCTGGAACGAAGGGATTAAGAAGAAATTTCCCCCTGTAAACAGGGAACAAAACCAGCATTCGAGCTGCCCAACAAACTGAAAAGTTTTAAAAATGTTGTTTGATATAAAAGCAAATAATTCTTACATATTCTGAAAAGACATGAACAATAACATCCATTAGGCTCGAGGACACTGGGTGGTCTGAAGAAGAAATAAATACATTTTAAATATAGAGTGATTTCCACTAGTAAAAATAATTTTTTGAAGGGCCTTTTCTGTCTTCTGTTAGATGCTGGTCTGATTTGGGGTTTGAGTATACAGGAAATGTTGTGTTTTTGTGAATGCAGAAGTGCAATTACAGTAGCTGGAAGTCCACAGTTTCTGAATGCAAAACTTACTTTGCCTTGAAGGAAGAAGAGATACTTCACTGATGTTTTTCTAATATTTTTAAGCTGATCTGCAGCTTTCTAGGTGTATAGTAAATCACTTGCTTTTTAAAATACTTCATTGTGCACAGAAAACAGAAAGCTTCCTCACTGTACCTTCAAATGAGGAACGCCGCTAAGGATAAGGACAAATAAACCATTCACCAGACGAATGAAGTGAAGACTGAGCATCCCTCCTTACCCTGTTTTCTGACAAGGTAATAACCTCCCTTGTGGAAACAGGCAGCTAGTCCAGCCCACATTTCCTATGTATTCTGGAAGGTTATGCATGGATATCTGAGAGTCCGAATATAAAAGAGAAGACAGAAAGGGCTTCAAAAATTACAGCCTAAAACTATGCTCTTTCACACTAAAATCCAGTTTTAACTCTTAGCAAATGCTACCTCTGTGAATCAGCTGAATTTAATCCTAAAAACAAAAAAAAAAGAAAGAAATCCACTGCTATCTAGATGATCTGCAAAGGTCCCTTCCGACCTCAATCACTCTGCGATGATTCTGTGAAGAGCATCTGGCTCATGAGCAGCAAAGACCAGGACCTTCATGCTGCAGACACCAGCTAGGAGACCACTGCTGCCCGTGGGACGAGGGAGGGTTCACCAGCCCCGACAGACATGGGGGAGACACAGCACGTGGCAAAGTTAACCAGCAAACAACAAAAGCCAAGCTGGGGGGATGTTACATGAGAGATTTGCTCGAGGATCTTCTGTGGTTAACAGATGCTTCCTACTGCTGCCCCAGCGGGTCATAAAAATGACCTTAGGTCTCTAAGTTTTCGCTTTTGGCCATGTTCTTCGTGTCTTCTGGCCGATTTGGGTACGTCCCGGCTGTGACTTGCTGCGCTCCAGTGCCCACTGCTGCAGCGTCCTGCCAATCCCAAGGCATTGGGATCGGTCCCAGCCTGGGATCGAGGAATCAGGGAATCGCAGGGTGGGGACACTGAGCTCGGCAGGGCCCCAGTCACTCGCAGGGTGCAGGCGCGGGGCTGACACGGAGTTAACCGACCCCCGCAGTGACCCCGTCACTTGCGACACGTCATGACGGTGACGCTGAGCGGCTCTGACGGGTCCCCAGGCGCCTCTGGAGCCTCGTTCCACTGGGGCTCTCGGCTGGCATAAACTGGCCTGACTTGTCTGACGGCGCTCGCTGGTGCCGGCTGCGAGGCTGTCCCAGGCCATCTGCAAAGCTGCTGTGAAAGACAGTGCTTGACAGCGAAGCCGAGCTATAAATAGGGCCGCTGCTCCTCTCCCTGAGAGACAGATAGTATTACCAACCACCACCAAAAAAACACATCCAGCTTTCAGGAGAGGGCTCAGGTTTTTCTCTAAAGGCATAAGGACCACAACTTCCTTTGTTTTCTGGTAGTAGAAAAGGAGGTTTTTTGAGCCATCGGAGGATGCCATCAGCTGAGGGGCTCTGTCTATACTGCAGCTATGGCTGGAGAGAGGACACGAGCGAGTCGAGTCCGCTGGCAGGAACCCAGGCACGCAGCCCGCTGGGCTTTCGCCTGCACAAACAGACACCAACAGTGCCCAGAGAGGGCACAGATGGCAGAAACAATCTACAGGAGAAGAGGCTAAACACACGTGCCATAAGGTGTGTAGAAGCACGGAGCTGAGCATTTTTTTTACAGAAAAAAACCAGCAAGTTTTAAGCTGCAGGCCTCGCACCAACCAAACGCATCTTTCCACACATCATCCTGCATTGACTGCCCAAATCCCAGGAAGGAAGCACAAACCCCGCGGCCCCGGATGACTGAGATTCCTGCTTTCGAACCGGTATTTTCAGAAAACAATTCCAGGCCAACGCAACCATTGGTGCAGATAATCCCCGAGGAGCAGCCGGGCTGGGAAGCGGGCCCGGAGCAGGGTCAGGAAGCTGGCAGCGCCGCGCGTGTCACGCTCCTTGACCCCACCTGTTCTTTCCATGCTGCCCTTCTCCTTCCCCTCGTGCCGACCTTGGGCTGACCCAGTGCGATCCCGGCCAGCGGGGCCCACTCGGCCGCGACGCTTCTGCGGCGGTCCTGCACTGGCTTCGTCTTCCCGCTGGGATTCAAAACATTCTCGGTTTTACAGCATGGGGGGCGCTCCAAGGGGTTGCTCCGAGTCATCCAAATAAGGAGTCACTGCGGCTCCCTGTTTTCTGTTAACTGCAACTGCTCCAGCTGGGATCCCGGCTGGTGTCAGGCCTGCACAGCTGCCCCAACTGCCAGGAACACCGACTCCTACAGCAGAACGGCCGGTGTCGGTACAACACGAAGACGCAAAACCAGCAAATACCGGGGTCTGCTGCCCTCCCTGCAAGTCACCTCTGATGGGCAAAGCAAAATACTCATTTAACTTTCTTGGCTTCAGAGCACAAGGCTGGATAAGGAAACCAGGGAGATTTTCGTATCCTTCCTTGCCCTCCGGAACGCAATCCAAGCTGTGTAAGACACCCCCATAAAGCAGGAAATATTTATGTGTGGCATCGCGGTGTATTGTTGCCTGGTGCTTAAGTATGTTGTAAAGCTGGTCAGACGCTGGCTAGCTGCAGTTTACAATGTTTATATTAGCTTTTCGTTTCTGCCTCTTCAATCCTTTCACCTATTTCAGTCCTTTCAAGGTTTAACAGCAAACAGTCTGAAGAGAAAGAAATGGAAAACACTGGGAGGAAAGAGAATTGGAAGGAAAATGCAGGAGGCAGATCCAAAGAACAACATGTGCACAAAGTGGGTGCTGCCCTGAAGATGTAAATGAGGATCTTAAATCCATACATAAGGAAAAGCCTGGAGATTTGATGGGTCCCTCACCAAAGTCTCTTCAAGAAATTAAGATGTTCTGGGATTGTAGGATGGGCCCTCTCAGGATTAACAACTAGCTGTGATAGTCAGAAAGGTAACTGAGTGTCTTAAGTGTCTTGAGTATTAAAATGTCACTTCAGTTCTTCAGATTTAGTCAAAAATGGTGAGAGCACCTCCTGAGCTATTAGGCAAGGAATTGGGATTAAAAGAGGGAACATAACTGGCAGACCCACATCTCTCCTCCCTTCAGCCTCGAAGAGGCAACCTTGAAGGGATACAGAAAGTGTGACAGGAATAGGAGGGCTCCCTTATGGGCAAAAATTACACAGCCTGGGATTTCTTCAATGAAACAAAAAGGCCTCAGAAAGCAGCAATGCAGAAAAAGCCTGGAACAGGGAGCACCACCAGGCACAGAGGCTGGAAGCAGGGAAGGGACATTTATTTTGTCCCAGGACCTGCTGCAGCCACTGTCAGTGTTTGGGTACCGGAGTCTCGTTGGATCTTTGCTCTCACCTGGTGTGGTCAGAGCGCTGGTCCTGCTCAATCCTAAGCAAGGAGAGTCTGCCCTCTGCTCCAGAGGGAAGACACAGCTGCCCGAGGGATCCTGGACCGCAGCCCTGGCAACACGAAGCGAGGGGTGACAACAGCGAGGACGAGAAGCCATCGCCCTGCACTGCCCGCACACGGTCCGGACGAGGAAAGCGGAGATGTGTTTTGAAGTGTCTTCTCGATGAGCTGCGAGTTAAATTGGGCCTGTGCTCCTCGGCGAGCCGCCCGCGCACTCAAGGAGCGCGGTGGGAGCCAGGAGCGCTGCGACCGACGGGCACAAGCGTCGGCACGGGCGAGCCGGGGCTGCACGAGCGATGACCCGAGCACGGGCTGGCACCCCGGCCAGCAGCTTCTCTGCCCACGCGGGCAGAGCGGATTTCTCACGAGAAAATAAAAAGCAGCGTCTGGGCAAACACAGGCAGAATGCCCTTCATCCACGTGCCACAGCGATGGCAAGGTGCAACACTGCCCTGCAGCTGACGCAGCCCTGCAATGCAAGCACCAACAAGGAAGGTGTGAAGAGCTTCACCCTAAACCCACTTCTTACGTCTTCTGCTCAAAAGTCTTGTGCTTTCTGGACTAAGACAGAGTCAAGCCTTCAAAGGGCAAGAGAAGGGGAAACAAGTGAAGAGACACTATTTCTTAGTGAGTATCATGAGAGTCTGAGCAGATGACGGTGGGCAAACAGATGCAGATAAACATGCCCAAGCCCAACTTCATGCCAGCTGTCTGAGTCAATATAAATATGAGAAGATGCTGGGATGACAAACACAGGCATCTTGTAGGATAATCTTCTTGCTTTGCTACTGGGAAATGATGCTAATGCCACAGGGTTCAGAGACAGAGGCACTTAAGCCAAATGATTGAGGGTGGAATTCACTGGCTTCCTCCGAGAGAAAAAAAGGAGCAAGCTGGTGGTGAGGGTAGCTCAGGATAAAACTCCTGCAGGGAAGCACTGAGCACCAAAACCAAGGAGAGAGGAAGCTTCTTAAGAGAGATGAGAAAATTAGCCATGGGTGATGCTCTCTTAGCACAGGGTACAAGAATAGGCCTAGGGCTCCTGGGGGTAACCACTTTTATTTTTGTGGCAGCTGGAGAAGTTGTATGCTGTACATTTGTACATTTGTAGATGTACAAATCTACATCATTAGATTTTCTGAAATTTTATGAGTGATATACGGCCTCATATTGTCCTAGACCCTTCTTGTGCCCCAGAAAAGTCAAAGAAAAAGGTTCGGCACAGGTGGTGTGAGGGCTGCAGCAATTAAAAGGATGACTTGCACTCTTTTGCTCTAAGCAGTGTGATGAAATGCAGATATTGGGAAAAATAGTCAAAATCTTTGCTGATGGTCTCTGATTTGTAGCAAAATAGGCTGGGAGTTCTGCAGGACACGGACGGTCTCAGCAGCCAATGGGGCAGCGCACTGATCCCTGGGAGAAGCCTCTGTGCTTCAAAGCTTCCCAAAGTTAAACCTGAATTAAACTAATTACTCCACAATTAGTTAGCAGAGACTAGAAAAGATGTTACCACTGAGAAGAAAATAAAGTACAGATTGAGCAGTCCAACTCATGCAAAGCACCAGGGCCGCTGGTGGCACAATCTTTGCTAACACAGCGCTGACTGCCTGCAGAACTGAGACAAGGTCTTTTGCCAACTCTCCCTTACCCCTGCCAGGTGTCAAACCTTGCTCTAAACCCTGCAAGAGACAAGTGCACTTTATAAAACCACTGGCTTGTGAGATCTCACCCTCTTACCTGACATCATTACCTCCATGGGCAAAGGATCCAAAACAGGCTGTTAGGATCTGGAGGAAGTGGAAAAGCAGATGGACCTGAGACGTGTCCTTCTCTTCCTTATCCTCTTCCACAGGATCTTCTGGGGGCCGGTTGGGATCCGCCAGCTCAGAGGCCAACTTCATTTCCACTCCTCCTTCCTCCGCCTCGATCTCTGCTTCGGCCACTGCGTTGCAATAGCTGGAGTAGCTGTCATAGCGAACTCGCTTCTTAGAGTAGGAGACTGTGTCCCCCACCAGCTTTTCACTGTCCTCTGGCGTTGATGTGTCAGCAGCCTTAAAGGAAGAATGCACAGGCATGCCACAAATGGCAGCTGTGTAACAAGTGTAGCTGTTATTGCGCCGTAACAGTTTATAGTTGTTTTCTTGAGAGGGCCTCTCATCGGTGGCCCTGTCCAGGTGTATTTTGTGTAGCAAGTCTTTGTATAAACCTGAGTCCTTGTGCACAGTGTGATACACGTGGCCGTCGCTTCTCATCTGGCCATCAAAGCTGAAAGTGCCATTGGAAACAGGTGATTTCACCGAGGTGTGCGTCATGGAAAAGGCTCTTCCTGAAAAGGCAGAGGTGGAGAGGTGTTATTTCTATGAAATGGAGTTACCTGTTATTTCTTCACATAAAAACACAGAAAACAAAGAAGTTTAAGCTCTGCAAAATATTTCCTCAGCTGTGCAAACATCTCGCATGTCTCATTTCTACTAACATAATGATACAGTCATTCCCATCAAATATGTTTAACATAAATGATTACTATAAAACACATATCACAATGAAGCCTATATTCCTGGAGGAACCGTCTTTTTCATTTAGTGGCTTTTTGGATTTCAGCTGTGCAACGTTCAAACTTTCAGAGTGGAAACACTTGCTCAAAGTGGCCTCCTCTTGTGAGACTCTGTTGACTATATTGAGCATCCGCTAATCTAATTGTAGGGTTAGCAAGGTGATACCAGAGTCAACAGACCTCCAAATGGATGAAGCGATCCCACCACATAAGAAAACAAAGAGTTTTATTGCACATGAGCATGTTTTCTGTAAGTATATGCTCAGAAAACAGTGTGAGGTTTTTCTAGTGGACATGCTCCAAGTTGTCAAGTAAAACCCTAATCTCTTCATCTTCTGTGGAGTGCACTGATCATTTTTCTGCTGAATTTAACCTCCATCCATCTGCAATTTTGATTCTTTCTATTCTTCCAGCTTAACGGGATGGAAATATCATTATCGATAGAAAGCAAGCAAGTATTGTCTTCAGCTGTGTCTAAACTTCACCTATAGCCACACAAAATGCAATTGTCTAAGTCTTGTCTAGAAAATTCCACTTGTAAGCAAGAATATTTTTCAACAAGTAGGGAAGAAGGATTCAAATGGAAAATCCCAAACACTAATGCACTATTTAGGGCAGAAGATAAACCCTCTGTGTTGTCTTAGTTTCTTACCATATGGTACACGAGGATGGTTTCCATTCGCGATATTATCAGATGCCCCAGCAGCTTCTGTTGCTGGGCCAGTGAGGGGAATTGTGCTCTCATCACTTGCTTTGGCACCTGGAAGCTCTTTAAAGACTGGTGTTTCTTCATCTTGAATTTTATCAAGGCTTTCATCTGATATCCTTGACAGTGCAGCATCTTTCTTTAACTGACCTAAGGAAATAACCGCATTGTAATTTTAAACCCAGCCTATCTGTCTCGCCGCTAATGTTTCCCGTGTTTGCATAACGACATAGATCTGTGCAGATAAAATAACATGGTTCTGTTTCATCGGCATTCTTTATTTATTTCTAACACTTACCTACAGTAAATTTATTTGAGAAAATGCTTACACTTCTTTGTGTTTTCCTAGAAGTTCACCAAAGATGGTAACTAAAGTAAAACAGGCAATTTCTGGCATATTAACAAAATCAAAAACTTTTCTCCACAGTGCTTTTAACACCGTGTTTGTTGAAAATAACAAAGTAACCATCCAAAACAGCATAAAAGCTAAAACATGTGATCAGTCCAACTTTACTGTAACGAAAAGGAAGACAGAGGATAAACATTCTTAGAGATATTTTGTCTTTAGCAGTTCCTTAACAAAATATAAACCGGATTATTTTACAGGCTTCACTTCCCTAGTTCCAGCTATATACTGGAAGAGGTAAGCACTGAAGGGCCTAAGGAGGTTTTGAATTTCCATTGCTGCAGGTTTTTAAGAAAAGGCTACACAAATATAGAAGGAATAGTTTAAATATATCCTGCCTGCAGGTGGGGTGTGGACTAGACGACCTCTCAAGGGCACTTCTCATTTCAGAATGATTTTTGCCACAATTTCACATCAACAGCATTTCATCAGCTAGCTACTTACTTTCTATTTTTCTCTTCATCCATGGACATACAAAAATCCAAACCAGGACAGCAAATATTAAGGATACGCCGATGGATATTAGAGCAATAGCCCACATTGGCAATACCAGTCCTAATACTGTGAAGACACGAGAAAAAAAAAAGTCAAATAAGCTGTAAACCAACAGCATTAAGTTATCACAAGCAGTGGCAGAGCAACCTCGCAAAAGACTCACAATGCATTCACAAACAACATGAAGGTAATTTTTTAATTACCAGCAGGTAATTTCTTTAATATACACATCAGTAACTGACACAGTGGTCGACATGCGGACATCAAAATACTGAGTCCTCCAGCTCTCTGCTACCAACCATAATGTCCAGTCAGTGGCACAAATACAGCGCCAGGGCCACTAAAGCAAGTTGGCAATATTTTTATACATCTAATGCCTAATGACCAGTGTTGCCAGCTAGAGTAAATATTTACCTGACCTTTGCTCTGATCAAGAAACTTGATGGTTAGTTTAATCTAGGCCATTTTCTGCTTTAGATAACAGCTACATGCACCACTTCAGAACTAAGATTTCACTCCTGCAATGCACAATCACGAAAACAATTTGTATCCCTATAAGGATCCCCCAAATTCCATTGCCTCAAGAGGGCTCCTTGTTCATGTCTGAGTAAACCAGGAGGATCAGACCCTACATGAAGGATGCACTTGGGACTCCAGCCATTCAAACCTCCATATGGCTGCTGATCTTGAAACCTGCCTGATTAATTCACGTGTGCAAGTGCACTTTACAAACTGCTAAGCTCAAACAAAAGGAACATTAAGGTTCTTATTTCATTTATTTGGCCTAATGAGTCACTCCAGAGCGCCTGACCTACTTCTGCAGCACAACTAATGAGGAAATGTTGGTTATAGAGCTCATTTGCTGCAAAGCATTTGAGATACCTAACCAATTAGGGTTTTGACTTAAGAGAAGGATATAGTTGATTTATATTCCCTTCAAAGCGGGAACTTCTCAAGTCTCTTATTAATTTCAGTAATGCTGGGACATCAAGCAGAGTCTACCAAGTGCATTTATCTAGTACATCTAGTCCATCATATTTTAGAGAAAACTAATTCCCATTCCAAAAAGGTCGCTTTCTAAAACTGCTTTCATAATTCAGGGGGTAATTCAGAAGTCTGTCTTCAATAAATCAGATGAGAGCACTGGACACTTTTTTTTTCCCCCCTGAATTCTCTTACTATCATTTGGTGTTTAAACCTACACTCCTTAAATGAATATATAGTCTCCAAACAACAAGCACCGTTTCTTCTTGCTGAGTTGCAGCACAACACCCAGATGAACATCTGGGGCCTTCCCAGATCCATCTACATGGCATCCAAGAGAGAAGAGGCATTAAATAGACCGACGGGCTCAAGGCTTCTTGTAATTAAAGGGAAATAAAGAAGCCAAATTAATCAAGAGTCCCTGGGCTGGATGCCTCAGAACAGCAATTCTGTTATTTCCATGAAGCTCTAGCAGCAGGTGCCTGAACTCAGGAACTACCCCTCTAGCTGGAGTTGGAATAGCTGATGTTCACACCTGGAATATCCCTGAGAGCTCAAAGTGTGCTCCGCTCCATGAAGTCAAGGCTGGCAGAGAAATATTTCCCCTTTCCTCTAAAGGAGGGAAGTTTCTCAGTTGTCACCTTAGTACCAAACACAGCAATCAAAAAGCAGCTGTCAGGATAGAGGAATGGGGGCAACTCTGTGATTTCCATCCATGCTGGGTGCAACTCTGTGACTTCTACCCATGCTAACTTTGTGCCTAAGAAACGACTGTGCAGCATTTAGAACTATCTGACAGGACACCTACAGACCACGAACACACACACATTCGTGACCGCCCCTGGCTGCCCACTGGAGGCAATTCCCTCACCTGGCGCCCCGGTGAACATGATGGAGAACACGTTAATGGCTATCGTAGCAGCATAAAACACGGGAAGCGCACGGAGACCGTTGGGCACGGGGTCTTCCTGCACAGAAATTACCAAAAAAAGAAAAAAAGAAAAAAAAAGCAAACATTATTGGGACTTTCCCATAGATTAACATGAGCATTTCTGAACATAAGGAAAAAAATGTGCTCCCAAGTCAGTGCTAGACAGGTGGAGTTTTCACGCAGACATGGAGGAAATGATGTTGATCTGTTTGACTACTCTGAAAGCCACAGAGCTGGACCCAACAAGACTAGCATGGGAACAGCCTGGGGAAGACTGACGCTGTCAGTGGGAAGCAGACACACAGGTTTTATTCTTCAGACTGCTACAGACATGCTGGCTGACCTGGAGGCAAGTTTCCTTTGGTGAGTGAGGGCTTCCTTATCTGTCCTGTCTCTGAGATGAGAAGCTGCTTCCTCTGTGTGATCAAGGCGTGTTTAACACGACAGAGCCCTGGAAATATTTTGGCAGGGGGCCTATGAGCATAAGCGAAACCAGGCAGTTGCGAAACCATCTACCTACCCCCTCATCATCCTGGCATTTTCCACCAGACAACACAAACGCCTGATGTACCAAGGATGTGAAAAATCAGCTTGGGGGACACAAACTCTGAGAGACAGAGCTCCTCTTCTTTCCTCCACGCGTCCTGCTTGGTTATAGGTGACCAAAACGCAGCGTTCCCCCGCAACGGCAGCAGCAGCAACGGTGGCCACAGGCAGCTGAAGCCCTGCTCCCCCCGGGAGCTGCCCCTGTTGTGTCGAGCACGCAGTATTGAGGAGGAGTCAGCAGGCTGCTGCGCCTCGCTGCCTGGCAGAGCGCACCGCTGCCTCGTGCCCTCGCTGTGCAACGGGAACCTGGCGAAGCTCTGGCCTTCGCTAATCCGGTTTTGTTTCTCCCTGCCACGAGCTGTAAAAGGGAGCCAAGAGAAGGCTGCAGTCCCCGCGGGCTATGTCCTGCTGCTGGTCTGCAGTGCCAGTGGTCACTGTTACAGATACCGGGTTCACGTGCACGAGGGCACGTAGCCCTTCAGCAGCACCAGGATGCGCCCGCGAGGAAGCTGCTCCCTACGTTACGTTCACAAACAGCACAAGTTCCTCCCTCCTCATGCTCTGCACATGTTACAACTTTGTGACTTGCACACGCTGCCTTCAGAACACACATTTCCTTAGCTTGAAGCTTTCCTGTCTCTCAGGTGCTTCAAGATATGGTTGCTATATGGGATAGCTACCCATCCCGGGGTGCGTTAAGAAGAGTGTCTCCAGCAGGTCGAGGGAGGTGATCCTGCCCCTCTACTCAGCCCTAGTGATGCCACATCTGGAGTATTGTGTCCCATTCTGGGCTCCACAGTACAAGAGGGATGTGGAGCTGCTGGAGAGAGTCCAG